AGTCAACTCTTTATATAACGAAATAACAGTTCTGGAAGAAAAAATGTTCGTTATAGAAAATTACTAGACTTTTTTAAGAACCCATGGCACTTTCTATACCGAGCTGTTATGAAATTTAAAATTTTGAGTTCGTTATGTCCAGAATTCGTTATATAGAAGTTAGTTATATCCAGAGTCGCTGTTATGACAGGCTCCAGAGACGAAACATCACACCAAAGGAAAGGAGAAATGCGACGAATTGTCGCTAAAAATCCGTGGACGATGCGTAACGGTACTTTGCATATAGAGCGGCAAAGATTTGAAAGGTCTAAGCGACAATCATGTTACGTTATAGAGTTATTCGGTTAAGACTTTAAAGAGCGTTGCGATTTTTATTCAATAGATTTTTTTTTATTAATGAATTCTTATGTGTAGAGCACACAGCACTTTACAAGAGAAAATTCACCCGCTATTTATAACAAATTACAGGGAAAGAAAAAGAAGAATTTCGAACATTCCTTTGTCATTCTAGCACATTCTTCCCATTGACTTTAAGCCGCTTCTACCCTTTTTAGCTAAGTCTACCTACCATTATACTTCTAGCAATCGTTATTGTGGCATTTTTCCTTTTATCTATCGTTCCTAATATTGTTTCTCAATCACAAAAGTCATGCGAAGCATGTGAGAGCTTGTACACGGCCACTTACTTATCCAAACGAATATAATTCTACGGGTTAATGAAGATCTTTACGATTTTAGATTCGAAAATGGTAATTCATTTTGGGTTTGGCGGTCTACGATCTAATCGACATTTCTTAACGTTCATGCTACGAATTCGATCTGATGTTACGTTCGCCGGGTTACGGCATCGTTCGTTCAATACTTCGAAGCGATTCTTGGGTCACGGGTTTGCTAGTAATACTGTATAATAATATATTAGATTATATGAAAAAATATATTTTTTAAGATATTTAATATTATCAAGAAAATACAGCTGTAATAGCAGTTTGGACACGGCAGCAAACGCCCTATAACGATGTAAACGTAAACAGTCTAAAATAAGCGCAACACTTTTATACAAAATTGCAAGTTTTTTGCTAGATAAACTTTTAGAATTTGTGTACAGATAAGTAACCGTAATTGAAGCTGCACTTTTTCTGTATCGTTATTAATCAACAGTAAATCAAATAATTTACTGATATCAAAATATAATTATATCACAGATTTCGCAGGTCCCTGATGTATACATATATTTATGTAGTGTTCTTTATTGAATTATCCGAGTTATTCTGATCATCCTATACATTCTACTCTGATCCCCTAAACAATTTTGTCGTATTTGAACTATATTTATATTTTTGATCATCATGTGAAATAATCAAAAAATCTTATATTTGTGCAGAAGGCTTTAACCCGTTATAGTATATTGTTATTGGGATAGTCACAGCTATCACTGTTTATTTGTCATAAAGCTTTAATATTATATTGTTTGCGTATATAATGTCATCATGATGCCATTGCTAAAATATCGCAATGAAAAATTAAGAAGGCATAATGAAAACTTGAAAAAGCAAAAGACTTAGAAGAATATATCAACAGATCAAGAAGGCGCGATAACGATAGGGTATTGAGATGTATTAATGTAGATGATTGGCTAACTGGATCGCATGTGGCTTGATGTCTATCTAAGCCTATATGGCTTAGTAATCAGGTTACTGCTTTTTTTACTTTTACCGTCTATATTGATATGGGCTAGGTGCTGAGAAAGGATACGTATCATTTCACCGACAATCACTTCACCGACATCTTAGTTCACCGACAATTAATTCACTGACAAGTAGGGATGGCAAAAAAATGATTTTAAATGATTTTTATGATTTTTAACATGATTTAATACATTGTTTTAAAACATCGG